GCCAGGAGTGGCCAAATTATGCAGCTTATGACACAAGGGACAAACAAGTTATTTAGTCTTTCAGCAAAGCACCTCAACGAACAGAATCTAGTGCTCATTGAACTTCGCTGAAGACAGAAGACCGAGTTCAAGGGATAGCCCTGATTGGACATGATCACCCTGATCTTGGAGTGTGTCCTCTGTTCCACCACCTTCTCCACAGAGTCAAGGCCCAGTCCCATCACAGAGCCGATTCAGCCTGAGGATGTCATTCTTCCTAGTGCTGCCCTCCTCCCCCCTCAACACACAACACACACAAAAAATATACACTGGACACAATGGGCTGGTAGAACATATGCAGTAACTTAGAGTAGACCCTAAAAGAGGCCAGCCTTCTGAGAAAGTATATCCTGCTCTGCCCCTTCTTGTACACAGCATCCATATTTGCAGTCCAGTTCAGCTTTCTGTCCAGATGCATCCCCAGATACTTATAGGTTGAGACCACCTCAACCTCCAATCCTTCAATAATGACGGGCTGCAGACGTGGTGGTGCTCTGCGGAAATCCAGTACCACCTCTTGGTTTTAGTGGCATTTAGCAAAAGCTTGTTCTGAATGGACCAATCAACAAAGTCCTCCCCCAGGCCCCTGTACTCTCCCTCCTCACCCTCCCTAATGCATGCCACAGTTGCAGTGTCATCAGAGAACTTCTGCATGTGGCATGTGTCAGAGTTGTATTTAATGCCAGTGGTGTAGAGAGTGATGAGGAGGGGCAAAATCACTGTACCCTGAGGTGCTCCAGTGCTGCTGGTCAATGTTGAGGACTTAAAAGCCCCAACTGGGACAAACTGGGGCCTGTTGGTCAAATATTCCAATATCCAGCGCACAAGGTGGGCGTCCACAGATATCATGTTAAGTTTCTCCTGTAGAAGGCTGAGATCAACTGTATTAAAATCACTGGAGAAGTCAAAAAATAATATCCTCACCATACACCCACCAACATCAAGGTATGTGAGGGCACGATGTAAGAGGTAGAGAAAAGCATCCTCAACACCCACCTTCTCTTTGTAAGCAAATTGAAGGGCGTCTGTCACCGCCAACACTTGAGGACAAACAAGCTGAATGACCAGTCGCTCCAGTGTTTTCATCACGTGTGATGTGAGTGCAACCGGCCTATATTCATTAAGATCCCGGGGTTGGGCCTTCTTTGGAACCAGAACGATGCAGGACGTTTTCCACAGTGAAGGAACTCTCCCCAGCCTCAGACTCAAGTTGAAGATCTGCTGTAAGTTCCACTTTGTTCCACTTGTTCCTCTTTGGCGTAAGCTGTTGGGGGGGAAAAAAATCAGTTTTGTTGTGTGTTTCCTTGACTGATGAAGCCTTCCGAATCGAAGGCGAAACATTTCAGCACAAAATAAGAAACTGTCCAGATGACCTGACTGAAAAATGTTGGATTTTATACCTGGATTATTGAGCATGGACTTTGTTGTTTTCAACCAGTTTGACAAGACTGTCAACAAGGAAGAGGGCTGGCAATGGAGGAGGGGCGTACCAAAGAGACCATCTTATCGCAAGCAGAACTGGTTTGTTCCACTTTGGAGGAAGCTGTTGGGGGAAGAATCAGTTTTGTTGTGTGTTTCCTTGACTGATGAAACCTTCCGGATCGAAGGCGAAACATTGACGAGATCTTCTGTCAGGCATTCCCAGCAAACCCTCATGACACGTTTGGGTCTACCGGGTCTGTCTGGCATCTTCTCAGGCCATCTGATCCAACTCACTACCAGGTGGTGATCTGTTGACAGCTCAGCTCCTCTCTTCACCCAAGTGTCCAAAACAAATGGCTGCAAATCAGATGACACGACTATGAAGTCACTCATCGATCTGTGACCTAGGATATCCTGGTGCCAAATGCACTTATGGACACCCTTATGTTCGAACATGGTGTTTGTGATGGACAAATTACGATTAGAACAGAAGTTCAACAACAGAACACTGCTCAGGTTCAGATCAGAAAGACCGTCCCTCCCAAACATGCCCCTCCAGGTCACACTGTCATTACCCACATAGGCATTGAAGTCCCCCAGCAGAATAAAGAAGTCCCCATCTGGCGTACCATTCAGCATCCCTGCCAAGGACTCCAAGAAGGCCCGATACTCTGAAATGCTGTTTGCACGTAGGCACAAACAACAGTCAGAGCCCATCCACTCACCCAAAGGCAAAGGGAAGCCAGCCTCTTATCTACCCAAGAAAACTCCAACACACAGGCACCAAGTCGGGGCGCTACAAGTAGACCCATACCAGCTCGACGCCTCTCACCATGGACAACTCCATAGTGGAATAATGTCAAGCCCTTCATAAGGAGATTTGTTCCAGAGCCCATGCTGTGTATTGAGGTGAGCCCAACTATATCTAGTTGGTACCTCTCAACCTCACGCACAAGCTCAGGCTCCATCCCCACCAGAACGTTCCATGTCCTAAGAGCCAGCTTTAGTAAGCCAGGGTCAGAGCGCCAAAGTCCCCACTTCGGCCACTGCCCATGGCATCATACACCTGACTTTTATGGCCCTTCCTACAGGTGGTGGGTCCACAGGAAGGCAAACACATGCTGCTCTTTCAGTCTGAACCTGACCGGGTCCCATGGGTAGAGCCTCAGTCACCAGGTGCTCACCGACGAGCCCCTCCCAAGGCCTGGCTCCAAGGTGGGGCCCCAGAAACCCACATCCAGGCAAGAGACACTGAGTTCCTTGTTTTTTTCCTGTCCATAAAAGTCTTCTGAATCACTCTTTGACCGGTCTGTCACCTAGGTCCAATTTTTCATTCATTCAACCTTTATTTAGTCAGGTAAATCCCAATGAGCCTTGATGACTCATTTACAAGTGAGACCTGATTTCAACAAAGAATGATGACAACAATGGACAACAGCGACAACAATAGACAGTTATAAAAAAGCATATAGATTTTAATTTTTTTTAACGAATAGGATGGCTAAAAAAAGAAAAATAACAAAAAACAGCTAGATTCTAAGGCAAATGTAGAAAACTAAAAACAGGAACATGTCTACATTGGCCTGCATTTACCATGGGAGACCCAACCAGGGACAGTTATAATTCCCCCCGACAGCATAGCTCCTAGGATCATTCAGGTGCTCAAACTCCTCCAGCACAATAAGGTGGCAATTCAAGGAGGAGATCTTTGATTTTTAGATCTTTAATTTTTTTATGGTAAAATCAGACCACAGTTGAACAACTTATTCAACACATCCTAAAGCTTCTTGAACTGGCAAAAGTCTCTATGGTGTCCAAATGTAGTGGAAATAATGTATCATGCTGGTTTTGCAATCTTTACCGTACTTGAGCCTAAATGGAAACTGGCGGGTCAAAGAAGTGACTTCAGGTCATAGCAGGACCTCCACAGACTTGTACGCAAGTCACCAGGCATCATCACATATTTTTGTTTTTCTATTTGCATGCACACATCACTGTTAAACAGTGTAAATCTGGACTCATCAGACAAAATCACATTTTTTGTTCTACATTTTTATCTTTATCCTCTTTTGAAAGCTGAAGTCTTTAATTGGGCAGTTCCTCAGTATGAAATGTTATTCATGTATCAGCTGTCCTGATGTTTTGAAGTGGAATTCTGTGGGAAAAGTTTTTGTATTGAACGCTTTTTGAATTCTGTGGGAAGTTACAAATGATGAACATCTCACTTACCGTAGATAGCTCTTAAAAAAATAAAAAAGTTTGAAGAAAACAGGAATCAGACTGACAAGCTAATCTAAGCTATCTGCTCATCTGTCTAGCCCAAAATAAAATTTACATCTCTAAACCGAGGTTATTTAAAAAGCTATCTCATACAGATATATTGTATTATATATTTATAACCATATTGCAGAACTCCAATTTAAAAGACCTGAACTATCTGTTTTGTAACTGTTTAATATTAACACCACAAATTATTTTTGCATAGTGTGTTTGTGTATTCAAATGATCTAGCATTAAATAGATACTGCATAAAGTCATCTCACAACAATAAAGTCATGACCCTATAACTGAAAAGCAATTATCTACATCGAGCACTCATGATTTCTAGCCAATGTAAAACATTACACCTGAATGGAAAATATCAAACACCAGATGTGGGTGGTTCGATGCAGAACCCTCACCAGAAATTCTAACAATACTCTACCCAATCTGACAGAAACAGATGGTGTATTCACACATTGCCTTCACTTTCAAGGCTGTGACACCTCATCATCAGTCGTGTATGCTGCATTAATAGAACAGACAGGAAGTGCACATAAAACCTTACTGACAGGCAAAAACACTTGTACATAAAAGGGAGATAAATCTAAGTGTATTAAAAAAAGTTTAATATTTAATTCAACATTAACTAATTATTACTGTTAGTCCACAATAAAGCCAGACAAGTTCATCATTTACTTTTTGATTGTACAAAGTACTTAACACATAACACTTTAGTAAAATCTGTCTCTTGTCTGTACTCTGAAGCAACAATCAGCATCTAAGCAGCTGCTATGTGAGATTGGCCATCGGAGCTGCATTTGCATCTTGACATAATTTCAGGTGTTGTACTTCAATAAAACAATCATGTAATTTTAAGGTAAAAGGTTTTGTTAATTCATGATAAAGATAAAAGACAAATGAAACAGTAATATATGGCACCACATGCAGATGTTGTGCAGTAAAATGATCGGTAAGTCCATGTCATTTTAAAATAATTTCAGAACACATTTTGTTCAGAGTGGAAAACAATCAGAATTCAAAAATACATTTATGGATGAGGCCATCAACAAGATTTTTATAGTTAAATTGCTTGAAGGGGTTTGAAGAAATATTACGGGTGCACGTTATCAATTCTGAAGGGCAGCCTTTGGTACAAAAATGTTTGTTTTTCCAACATTCGAGACTGTCTAATCCAGGATTCTGATTGGTCAGAGATAACAGTAGGAGGTGACTTTGGCAGAAAAAACAAGAACTACTTTCCTATAAAAACCAGGGCTGCAGGTAAAGTTCTCTCATCAACAGGATCACTCAGCAACCATGAGGTCTCTGGTGTTTGTTCTGCTCATCGGAGCTGCTTGTAAGCAACTCTTTTTATTTGTATTCAGTTAGTCTAATGTCCAAGTTATAAAGCTCTCATTTAACACTTAATGTAATTCCTGTGTGTTTTCAGTTGCTTTGGACGATGACAAGATCGTCGGAGGGTACGAGTGCCAGCCCTACTCTCAGCCCCATCAGGTGTCTCTGAACGCTGGTTACCACTTCTGTGGTGGATCTCTGGTCAACGAGAACTGGATTGTGTCCGCCGCTCACTGCTACAAGTCGTAAGTGTACAAAATGCAATGTTCCTCTATATATCTGCAGGTTTGATTTACTGTGTTGCTCACTTTTAAGTGTTTCATCTGTTTCAGCCGCATTGAAGTGCGTCTTGGAGAGCACAACATCCAGATCAATGAGGGAACCGAGCAGGTCATCAGCTCTTCCCAAGTCATCCGCCATCCTAACTATGACTCCTACACCATTGACAATGACATCATGCTGATCAAGCTGAGCAAGCCCGCCACCCTCAACCAGTATGTGCAGCCTGTGGCTCTCCCCAGTGGCTGTGCTCCTGCTGGAACCATGTGCAAAGTCTCTGGATGGGGCAACACCATGAGCTCCAGTGAGTGCTGAAAGAATATTTTATAATTTACATGTATTTGTTTTGTACATGCATCCATCCTTTCTCTTCTGCTTATCCGGGGTCGGGTCGCGGGGCTAGCAACCCAAGAAAGGAGGCCTTTCCCTCTCCCCAGCCACTTGGGCCAGCTCTTCCGGGGGAATCCCGAGACGTTCCCAGGCCAGCCGAGAAACATAGGCCCTCCAGCGTGTCCTGGGTCTTCCTCTGGGTCTCCTCCCGGTGGGACGTGCCTGGAATACCTCACCAGGGAGGCGTCCAGGAGGCATCCTAACCAGATGCCCGAGCCATTTCAACTGGCTCCTCTCGATGTGGAGAAGCAGTGGCTCTACTTTGAGTCCCTCCCAGATGACCGCGCTTCTCACCCCATCTCTAAGGGAGAACCCAGACACCCTGAGGAGAAAACTCATTTTGGCCAGAACAAAAACCATACTGCTCCTCCTGAATCTGAGGTTCAACTATCCAACGGACCCTCCTCTCCAGAACCCCCAAATAGACCTTACCAGGGAGGCTTAAGAGCATGATCCGCCTGTAGTTGGAACACACTCTATGGTCCCCCTTTTTGAATAGGGGGACCACCACCCCAGTCTGCCAACCCAGGGGAATTGCCCCCGATGTCCACGCAATATTGCAGAGTTGTGTAAGCCAACAAAACCCCACAACATCCAGAGCCTTAAGAAACTCCGGGCAAATCTCATCTGCCTCCGGGGCCCTGCCACAGAGGAACTTTTTAACCACCTCAGTCACCTCAGCACCAGAGATTGGAGAGCCCAACCCAAAATCCCCAGGCTCTGCTTCCTCAGTGGAAGATGTGCCAGTGGGATTGAGGAGGTCTTCAAAGTATTCTGCCCACCAACCCACGACATCCCTTATTGAGGTCAGCAACACACCACCTCTACTATAAATAGTGTTGATGGCATACCGAACTGTACTGAGATGCCAAATGGTGGACCAGAATCGCCTGAAAGCCGTACAGAAATCATTCTCCATGGCCTCTCTGAACTCCTCCCATGCCCAAGTTTTTGCCTCAGGGACCACCTGAGCCAAATGCCACTTGGACTGCCAGTACCCATCAGCTGCTTCCGGGGTCCCACAGGCCAAAAAGGCCTAATAAGCCTCCCTCTTCAACCTGACAGCATTCCTCATTGCTGGTGTCTACCACTGCGTTCGAGAGTTACCGCCGCGACAGGCAACGACAACCCTGCGGCTACAGCTCCAATAAGCCGCCTCAACAATAGAGGCCCTGAACATGGCCCACTCAGACTCAATGTCCCTCACCTCCCCCGAAATGTGTTTGAAGCTCTCCTGGAGGAGGGAGTTAAAGCTCTGTCTCATGGGAGACTCTGCCAGATGTTTCCAGCAGACCCTCACAATACGTTTGGGTCTATCAGGTCTGACCGGCATCCTCCCCCACCATCGAAGCCAACTCACCATCAGGTAGTGGTCAGTGGACAGCTCCACCCCTCTATTCACCCGAGTGTCCAAGACATGCGAACGCAGATCAGATGAGACAACAACAAAAGTCGATCATCAAACTGCGGCCTAGGGTGTCCTGGTGCCAAGAGCACATATGGACACCCTTATGCTTGAACATGGTGTTTGTTATGGACAATCCATGACGAGCACAGAAGTCCAATAACAGAACGATCGGGGGGGGGGGGTCCTCCCAACCACACCTCTCCAGGTCTCACTGTCATTGCCCATGTGAGCGTTGAAGTCCCCCAGTAGAACAAGGGAGTCCCCAGGAGGTGCACTCTACAGTAACCCCTCCAAGGACTCCAAAAAGGGTGGATAATCTGAGCTGCCATTTGGCGCAAAGCACAAACAAAAGTCAGAACCCATCCCCCCACTCATAGGCAGAGAGAGGCTATCCTCTCATTCACTGGGGTGAACCCCAACGTACAGGCACAAAGATGGCGAGAAACAAATATTCCTACTCCTGCTCGGCGCCTCTTACCAGGGGCAACTCCAGAGTGGAAGAGTGTCCAACCCTTCTCAAGGAAACTGGTTCCAGAGTCATGCGTTGAGGTGAGTCCAACTATTTTTAGCAGGAACCTCTCAACCTCACACGCCAGCTCAGGTTCCTTCCCAACCAGAGAGGTGACAATCCACGTCCCAATAGCCAGCTTCTGTAGCTGAGGATCAGACCACCAGGATCCCCGCCCTCGCCTACCACCCATCCCACATGTTTTGTACATACTTATTTCATTCATACTTTTATGATATGTTTCAGCTGCTGACAAGAACAAGCTGCAGTGCCTGGAAATCCCCATCCTGTCTGACAGGGACTGTAACAACTCCTATCCTGGAATGATCACTGACTCCATGTTCTGTGCTGGATACCTGGAGGGAGGCAAGGACTCCTGCCAGGTATGGAACAAGTCAAATCTTTAGAGACTGCAAGCAAATTTAATTTGCAAATACAGAAGATCACAAATTATTTCTCAATTGTAAATATTATTAAAATAATTTGTTTGTCTTTGGTGTCAGGGTGACTCTGGTGGCCCTGTTGTGTGCAACGGTGAGCTGCAGGGTGTTGTGTCCTGGGGCTATGGATGTGCTCAGAAGGACAACCCCGGTGTCTACGCCAAGGTAAAAAATATTCTCAATATTTTAGCAACAAAAACTGTATTTTTTTTTTCATATATGTTGGAGATTATTGAACTAAAACACATTCACACTTTTTTTGTTTTCAGGTCTGCATCTTCAGCGACTGGCTGGCCCGCACCATGGCCTCCTATTAAACCAGATCCTTCTTCAGCCATCCAACACTGCTGCAGTTCTTCTGTCAGTCTATCTGATCTGATAGCTCTTGGTTTGTGCAGAACAATGTGTCAACAGATTTCCACAAATCAATAAAAATCTTAACATCAAACCCCATTTTCTTCTTGTCGTACTTTGCCTGTCCTGTTCCAGGTAGAGATGTACCTCTGTACATGATTGGTGATCTTACATAATAATGATATCCAAATATTCAATTATCGGTCCAGTTATTTTATTTTTTACCATCATTGTTATTTTTGTTTAAATTAGTTCTGAAAGCTTCTGTAAATCTATTCTCATATGTATTAAATTAGTGTATCCTTCTGTCATATAAATAATGAACATCATCATTTGCCAATATTGGTTAAACACCTACCACTTTACCACTGTATAAGTAATAAACGCGCCTGAAACCAGTGCATTACCTTCAGACAGTTAGGATTGCAATTAGTAAAGTTCTCCATCTATGGAATCTAGCAGACAAGTTGAATCATGGCTTTGTTCCAGTCTCCCAAAAAGCAAAGTAATCAAACATATACATGGGAGCTTTTGTCTGTCTGTCAGTCAGTCAGTCAGTCAGTCAGTCAGTCAGTTAGTCAGTCTGTCTGTCTGTCTGTGTACATTTGCAAACCCAAACTAATTGGCCAATAAAATGGATATTAAAATGATGCACTCAATTTTTTAAGCCCCTTTGACCTTCAGTTATGGCATTTAATTTTGCATTGTTTTCATTGACTGAAACAATGTCTGAACATTTGTTTGTGTTCAGAGTTACATCAATTCATTCAACCTTCATTTATACAGGTTAGTCTCATTGAGCCACAAGGACTCATTTACAAGAGAGACCTGCTTTAAACAAAGAACACAGATGAGGTACAGACAACAATATACAAGCATATAAAAAGCTTATAAAATGAAAAAGTAAATAGAAAAATTTAAATAGAAACGAAACAAAAACAGCTACATTGTAAAGTGATGTAAAATACTAAAAACAGGAACATGTCTGCATTGGTTTTTGCCGTGAACTTAGCAGTTGTTTAAAAATCCCTTAGAGAGGTCAAGTTTGAGAGCTTCAGATATGTTTACAAGGTGTTCCAGGATACAGGAGCGGAGTAGGAGAAGGCCCTTTTGCCAAGTTCAGTCCTCACTCAGGGTATAGTGCATGTACTAATGTCCTGAGAGTACATGCTGTAGCTGCACTCAAGGAGTGACATGTGGGAGGAGATATATGAAGACAACAGACCAAGAAGTGATTTAAAAATCAAAATAAACCAGTGAGAGACTGCAACGTTAATGATGACCAATTAACCAGTGAATAACCAGTGAATAACCAGTGAATAACCAGTGGCGTCTTCTGTAGATCGATTCTCATGGTATGCGTCCTGGTGAGGATCCTCATTGATGTTGATGGTTGTTTTGATGTGGGTCATGACCAGTTTTTCGAAGAATTTAGCGACTATTGGGGTGAGGGCTACTGGCCGATAGTCATTCAGACCAGTCACTGTAGAGCTCTTTGGGACTGGGATGATGGTTGTGGTCTTCAGGCAGGTGGGAACTGTTGCCAGGGTAAGTGAGGAGTTAAAGATGTTGGGCAGCACCTCGCAGAGCTGATAGGCACAGTCTTTCAGCACCTTCCCGGGGATATTGTCTGGGCCGGTTGCTCTGTGAGGATTAATCCTCCTGAAAGTACTCCATACTGTCCTGAGTGAGAATGAGAATGTAGCTATAGACTAAAAGTGACTCCTACCGCACTGGAAAGAGTTATGGGGATTCAACTGATCTCCTGGTTCAAAACTAGATTTAGCTCTCCATCAAGTCTGGTCAGCTCAGCAAGAGCCTGGCCTGTGTGAAACAGACCTAATAATCAATAACCCTGGGTTTTATCAATATCAAAAACCATCATAAATATAAGCAACATGTACATGTTTTATCATAATTACTATAGTAATATAAGTTCATAATATAAATACAATCAAGCTCATTATTTGAGTACTCTTAAATATTCCTAATATTAGCGGTCTTAATATTGCATCTTAGCACACAATATAGCAATAGCATTTGACCATTTCAATGTACCTTCAATTTAAATGCTTCAGTTTTAACACTAAGAGATAGTTACTTATTGCAAGAGGCTTATTTTTCATTATCCAGATCAATACAAATGCAGGTGCTCAGAAATTGTAAAAAAAAATACCATCTGTAACATTTAGTATAGAAAAGTATTAATGCTTGATAATTATTTTTTCTATAAGCACATTCAAATAAATGCAGCAATAGCACCGATTTATCACAGAGCCCAATACAATAACCTGGAGGCTAGCGCTGCATGACCAGATCCAGAAACAAACAAACAAACTCATCCATTTCCACTTTTAGAATATACAGTCAGCTGAAGGTTTTTTCACAAATAGAGACATCTAAAATTTGAGAGGCATATCTGTCAGAAATGGTAACATAGGCATTAGATAAGGAGTTTTCAGTGACTTAAAGCCTACAGTACCTGCAACAGCTAGCCTAGCCTCTCTCTCTCACATAGCCTGGTTGTGAGTATCCACAATCTGTTCCGAACCAGAAGCATGATCCGTACCATACAATAAGCTCTGGGCGCAGGAGAGTTGCGCCCAGAATGGTCCTATATCTTGTAATGAAGAGGAGCTAACTGTGCAAGTACAACTTTTTTACGAGAGTCAACGGGTCAAAGATTTTTGTGCCCCAGGGCGGAAATACATCATCAGTCAGAAACAATGTTTTTGAAATAAACAACTTTACTCATCGTTAGCTATAAAATACTTATCTTACACAACAACAAAAAAATAATACATACATATATTTTGAAATATTTTATTTTTTATTTCATTTTTATTTAAAAAAAATGTATGTCTTATTAAAGGTAATGTGATGAGTGATGAGTGGTGAGGCGGCACCCTAGGGCCCTTTATTGGTCATCCAATACAGGAACCAACCAATGGTGTGAGCTGAAAAAACAAATTCTAAGAACTTATGACAAAAGATGTCATGATCCACAGTGTCAAAAGCTAACAAAGAAACAAACTAACTTGAGACTAAATGGAAGCTGGCGTGTCAAAAAAGCGGCATCAGGTCATAGCAGGACCTCCACAGACTTGTACATGAGTCACCAGGCATCATCGCATCTTTTTGTTTTTCTTTTTGTATGCACACGTCACTGTGAAACAGTGTAAATCTGGACTCATCAGACAAAATCACATTTTTTGTTCTACATTTTAGTCTTTATCCTCTTTTGAAAACTGAAGTTTTTAATTTGACAGTTCCCAATTATTAAATGTTATTCATGTAGCAGCTGTCCTGCTGTTTTAAAGTGGAATTCTGTGGGAAGATACAAATGATGAACATCTTACTTAGATAGCTATTTAAAAATGTTTGGAAAAAATAAGAATCAAACTGACAAGCTAACGGTTAATCTAAGCTATCTGCTCATCTGGATAGTCCAAAATAAAACGTACATCTCCAAAACTGAGGTTATTTAAAAAGCTATCTCATAGAGATGTTAAGTGTCAGGATTTGTTGGACAGGAACGAACCCAGTAGTGCAGACAGGACTCAACTCGGCAGATTATAAAAATAAATATTTTAATAGTGAATAAAGAACAAAATAACAGCTGACGTGGCAGCAAGACTTACATGAAAAAACTGTAGGCTCAGAAGGAAACTCAGGAAGGACTCAGGGAGCTCAGGGGAGACGCAGGAGAACGCAGGAGAACACAGAGACCCAACGAATACGACCCGACGAGGAACAACACAGAACAGGAGGCTTATATACAAGGACAAGACAAGACGTGATTACAACAGCTGTGACGAGACAAAGGTGACACCAATTAAACTGACGAGGAAACACTAGGGAAACACAGACACAAACAGAAACAGCAAATGGTACCATCCTTACATTAAGTTATTGATTGTTTATAACCATACCACAGAACTCCACTTTAAAAGACGTGAACTATCCCGTTTTGTAACTGTTTAATCTTAACACCTCAAATTATTTTTGCATAGTGTGTTTGTGTATTCAAATGATCTAGCATTAAATAGATACTGCATAAAGTCATCTCACAACAATAAAGTCATGACCCTATAACTGAAATGCAATTATCTACATTGAGCACTCTCATGATTTCCAGCCAATGTAAAACATTACGGAAAGTATCAAACACCAGATGTGGGTGGTTCGATGCAGAACTCTCACCAGAAATTCTAACAATACTCTACCCAATCTGACAGAAACAGATGGTGTATTCACACATTGCCTTCACTTTCAAGGCTGTGACACCTCATCATCAGTTGTGTATGCTGCATTAATAGAACAGACAGGAAGTGCACATAAAACCTTACTGATAGACAAAAACACTCAAATATAAAAGGGAGATAAATCTAAGTGTATTTAAAAATGTTTAATATTTGATTCAACATTAACTAATTATTACTGTTAGTTCACACTAAAGCCAGACAAGTTCATGATTTACTTTTTGATTGTACAAAATAATGTACTAAATAACTCTTTAGTAAAATCTGTCTCTTGTCTCTTCCCTGAAGCAACAATCAGCTTTTAAGCAGCTGCTAAGTGAGATCGGCCGTCTGAGCTGCATTTACATCTTGACACAATTTCAGGAGTTGTACTTCAATATGTCATTTAAGGTACAAGTTTTTCAAATTCATGACAAAGATAAAAGAAAAATGAAACAGTTATATATGGCACCACATTCAGATGTTGTGCAGTAAAATGATCAGTAAGTCCTTGTCATTTTAAAAGAAGCTCATCAGACATTTTGGTCAAAGTGGAAAAAAATCAGAATTCAAAAATGCATGTATGGATGAGGCCATCAACAATTTTTTTATAGTTAAATTGCTTGAAGGGGTTTTGAAGAAATATTACAGGTGCACGTTATCAATTCTGAAGGGCAGCCTTTGGTACAAAAATGTTTGTTTTTCCAACATTCGAGACTGTCTAATCCAGGATTCTGATTGG